GTATGCACCTATAAATATCCATGTACCTCTTCATTATTAAACATGTTGAGAATTGTTGAGTGAATAGAAACGGGAACATTGTGTTCTTTCGTGTGTTTAAACAAGGCCATTAGTGCATGTTTATCATACAAATCGTGTCGGAGAGAAGGCCCTTAGAGCGTCTTGAAGTCACTGTGTCTAAGAGAAGGCCTTGAGTGCATCTGTTAGTCACACTTATTGTGTGTAGTCGAAGGCCCTTAGTGCGCGATTACTCACACCCGAATAGACAAGAACTGATTCCTTCATCATTGGTGCTTTAATTGAGAGGTGCTGATCAAAGTTTTTGTCTATCTATCTTCTTCTTTTTTTCGGTTTGCCTTTTGCTGAGGGGTCGATTTTTCTCTTCTTTGTTCGATTTTTTTTTTGATCGAATTTTTGTTCGATTTTTTTGTTTTTTTCGTGAGTGTTGAGTAAAAAAAAAAGGTGTCATCCTAGTTTGTCTTGATTTTAATTCATTTAGAGTCTTAAAAAAAAAGAGAGTCATGAGGTTTGAACCATTGGATGAATTGGATCTGGAAGATCTTGAATATCTCGATGGTTTGGAGAGAGAATTAACCGCATGGGAGCAAGAGTTCTTGGAGGAGCTTCACGAACGAAGAGATTGGGAGGAGCGTGAACCACAACTCGTGGAAGCCAGAGAAGCTGAAGTGATTGATGTTCAAAACAATGATGATGAATGTGCACTGAATTTCATTATCCTTAAGGACAAGGAAAGTCTTGAAGAGGAGAGGAATGATACAGAAGTGGTTATTAACCGCGGTGATTCATGTGATGGGATGGTCGAGGATCTCGATTTATGCTTGGAAAATATGCTAGAGGAACCATCAAGTCCAATTTATCGACCACCATGTGTGGGAGATTGGCCAAAAGGATGTGGTCCAAAGTCAAAGTTGAAGGCTAGGCAAAGCAAGGCTAGGCAAGCTCGAAGACGATAGAAGGCAAAGGCTAAGAAGGCGAGTCATTGTTGTGGGCCTTTTGCGAGGAAGAAACGAGCATGGCGTTCAGAGGCTAAAAGGCATGGTAAGCAAAGGATGGAAGACGGTTGGACATGGAGTGCCGGAGATTGCACGAGAACAGAAGGTAGGTGCGTGGAAAGATGGGACCCATGGGACGAGCAAGGTCCACCAAATGGGCCATTTGTACGGATCGGGGACTGCCATGGTAGACTAGGCCCATCAGGCGAGCGGTCGGAGTCAGGCGCGAACGAAGGGCTAATATGCGAAGATGCGCATCATGCGGGTGATGCGCGAGCATGGGGCACGGCGACTAGTGGCACGCGCGAGGAATCAGCGGAGCGCGGGACTGATGACGAGCTGGCGAGCATGGAGGCTAAACGCGCAGGTGGCTGGGACGTGCGGGCTTCGATCTACGGAGGCACGGGAAGTACGAGGTGCGCGAAGGGAGTCCACATGGGCGATAGCCTAGGCCTGAAAGACCTAGGAATGGCGGGGGCGCACGCGTGCGAGGAAGTCGGCGATGGCGCCGGGCTCGCAGGCAGCAACGCGTGGGGCGACGCGGACAGAGGCCTAAGCTGAGGAGGATTAGGCGAGGGGGGCAGCGCATACGCGGGCGGTGGCATCGATCGAGTAGGAGTGGGAATACCAGGCGCGCGGTACCACGCACGAGAGGAAGGCGGCGCAAGCTTGGCACGCGCAAGCTTGGCACGCGCGACAGCGCGCGCGTGCAATACGGACGAGACGCGCGATGCCTCGCGCGCCGAGGAATAGGAAAGTGGCTGAGGGCGGTGAGCACAAAGGCAGTTAATGTAAGGCGGCCGAGGGTTTTTGTGCGCATTACTTTGAGCTCAAGAATTTGGATGGAGTGAAAGTCCAGCAAGAATAATTATAGTAGTACTAGGATTTTATTTCCTTATTGCTTTTAATTATAGAATTAGGAGATCTAGATTGATTAGGCTTAGATTTATTTTATGCACCTATAAATACCCATGTACCTCTTCATTATTAAACATGTTGAGAATTGTTGAGTGAATAGAAACGGGAACATTGTGTTCTTTCGTGTGTTTAAACAAGGCCATTAGTGCGTGTTTATCATACAAATCGTGTCGGAGAGAAGGCCCTTAGAGCGTCTTGAAGTCACAGTGTCTAAGAGAAGGCCTTGAGTGCGTCTATTAGTCACACCTATTGTGTGTAGTCGAAGGCCCTGAGCGCGCGATTACTCACACCCGAATAGACAAGAACTGATTCCATCATCATTGGTGCTTTAATTGAGAGGTGCTGATCAAAGTTTTTGTCTATCTATCTTTTTCTTTTTTTTTTCGGTTTGCCTTTTGCTGAGGGGTCGATTTTTCTCTTCTTTGTTCGATTTTTTTTAGATCAAATTTTTGTTCAATTGTTTTTGTTTTTTTCGTGAGTGTTGAGTCACAAAACAAAAAAGGTGTCATCCTAGTTTGTCTTGATTTTAATTCTTTTAGAGTCTTAAAAAAAAAGAGAGTCATGAGGTTCGAACCATTGGATGAGTTGGATCTGGAAGATCATTGTAATATCCCATTCAGTTAAGTATCAGTTTATCTTCAAAATCGAGATATTTTGAGGGTAAATAAGTTAGGAAATTGAAGTTTTTAAGTCACACGGGTCGTGCGGGTAGCCACACTGGTCGTGTGAAGTCACACTGGTCGTGTGACAAGCCACACGGGTCGTGTGGCTCAAGGCACTATTCAAGTTTAGCTTCGGTTTTTTCACACGGGTCGTGTGACTTAAGTGACACGGGTCGTGTGAGTTCACACGGGTTGTGTGACTCAAGTGACACGGGTCGTGTGGCGTCACACGGGTCGTGTGACTAGTGACATTGGTCGTGTGACCGACAAAATTTCAGATTTTTATGATTCGAGTTTGATGCCAACTAAAGTGTATTTTGAGCAATTAAATATGCTTAGCTGAAAATTTGAAATGTTTGGTAAGGACTTGTTTAAGTGATTAATTTTTACAAGTTCAAATTATTTAATTCGTTAATTTCTTCACTCCAAATATTTTATTCCAAAGTTTTGGCTATAAATAGAGGCTTCAAAAATCAGATTTTTACACCAAAGTAAAGTATCAAAGTTAAATTGAGAGTTTAAGTGAGGAGAAGTATTTTGGAGTAAAGGATTTTCAAGATATTAAAGTTCATATTCAAGTTCATATCAAGTCTTTCAAATTTCAAGTCCTTGAAGGAGGTAATTCATGCTTGTATTTGGTGATTGAATCATGTTATTAGCAAAGCATGATTAGTATAAGTGATTTTTGTTAGAATTTAAGTATTTAATATCATGCATGAGTTATAAGTTGAGTAATGATTTAGTTTATGTTGGCATAATAGTATCCATTTCATGTTATTGATATGAGTTATCATGATGAGAAGTTGATAAAGTTATAAGTTGATAGCTTAATATGATGTGTTATTCATGTTAAGTGTAAGAGTATGAGTTTCACATTTGATGATGAGTAAATTGATAAGTTTAGCATCAAAATGTTGATAAGCATGCAATTTCATAAATTGTGCAACTTTAGCTTTAACATGTTGAGGAAACATGTTAATATCATAATTTAATGTTATGATTGAGTTATAAGGATGAGCAAGTTTAATTGTTATAAATCATGAGTTAAGTTTGATGTTGGTAAGTTGAATATGTTGAGTTATGTATGTGAGTTTGAGTTATTTCACTTACAAGTTTTGTAAGCCAACATCTAAGTAATAAGGCATGATTTATATGAGTTGAGTTTTATCTTTGGAGGAAGTTCATCAAGAGTTTGATTTATTCAATGTATTATGATATTTGAGCTATGGTTTGTATATTAATCGGATAAGTTATCAGTTAAAGATTATTCGAGCATAATACTTAGTATTCTTGCATATATTTTTTATGTAGCGTGAGAAGTTCGGCTACAAGAACAACACTTTCAATTTTCAAAACAGTTTTCAAGACGAAAGGTGGGAACCCAGACTGGGTAGTACATTGAGTATAATAGCTAGACCATGTTCAAAGGTATGTATATGAGTTAAAGTTATGCTTGGGGTGGAGGCGCAGTAGCCTTAATAAGCCATCCTAAGTAAGTTAAAGACTCGCCCAGTCCAGACTGGGTTTTGGGGAGGCAGCCCCCAATATGTGATCACGTGAGAACCGGCAGTACGGTAGTTGCAAAGTTCAGTTAAAGTTACCGGACCAAAAGTTCGGGAGAAGCTTATATATACCTGTGATCATGATATTGATATTATTATTAATGTTTACTTTAGTATGAGTTTTTATGGAGTACAGTTGATTAGTACTCACGTCCCACTATTATCATTTTCAGGTAACATGGTCGGGCCGAGGGTGTGAGTCAAGCTGTTGTGGTGTATGTTGTGCTTTCAGTTGTGCATTCAGTTGTGCATTCAGTTGTGAGTTTATTAAAGTTTTATTGTGAAATTCAATAAGGCATCGGTTTGTAAATGCCACGCTTAAAGACTTCCGCTATGTATATTAAATTTGAACTAGTGTGATTTGAAGTTTGATAATTAAGTAAAGTTTTTGTTTATTGTTATAAATGAGTTTAGTTTCACACTTGTTTAAAATGTTAAATCTGTTTTATCGAGTTTAAGAAAACAGATTTTCAAAGAAGTTATGTTTTAGTAGCATTCCGAGTTAAGAATATTTCGAAAAAGTTATAAGTATGTTTCGAAATAAGTTGCGAATAATTTACTCTGATGAGTGGGGTGTTACAGTTGGTATCAGAGCCAAAGTCTAAACGCTCTGTATACTAAAAGTTTAAGTTTTGAGAAAGAAAGTTTCAGGAAAACCGACCGCACCACACTCACACCTCGCCGACTACCAGGTAAGTGTTGTTAAGAGTTTTTATGAAATTTTAATATATGCAAATTACTAAGTCTATGCTCAATAAGAATCAGATGTCTGAATTTTATCAAAATAGATGCTCAATAAACATAGTATTTTGCTAGTATTTTTCTAAGTGTGCTAAAAGTTTATCTTTTACGATAAATTTTAGATGGCACCTCTAGCTAGAAGAGAATTGACGACCTCAGAAGTCGTTGTCCAGTTCCGGGGATTCAATGCTGAGAAATTCTCGGGGCAAGGAGATCCACGTTTAGTCGAGGAGTGGATTCAGGGTCTTGAATCTATTTTCGAGATCACTGAATACACAGACAGACACCGTATTCTCTGTGCACAACTTCAGATGACTGGAGATGCAAGACTATGGTGGAACTCTTACTGGGGCATGCGTCCTGGTGAGAAGGAGCATCTCACTTGGATCCAGTTCAAGGAGATGCTAGAAGAAAAGTACTATCCAGCTCATTACCGTGCTGAGATGGAATGCCAATTCCTGGCCTTAGTCCAAGGTAATCGCTCTGTGGGCGAATACAAGCGAGAGTTTACCAAATTGGGATCTTTTGTCAGTTATCTGATAGAAACGGAGGCCAAGAAAGCAAGGCGCTTCCAAGAAGGGTTACTACCAGTAATCCGTCACCATGTAGCCGGGCATTGCATTCAGACCTATGCTGAAGTGGTGACCAAGGCTCAAGAAGTGGATGCGAGTTTCAGAAGAGGAGATGGCCAAGTTCAAGTGCCGCCACTTCCTCAAGTTCCAGTCAGTTCCCCAGTGCAGCCCATGCCTGACCAACCAGCAAAGAACAAACTCAAGAACAAGAGAAAGTTTAAGGGCCCTCAGAATAACCAAAGGCAGCCAGCTCCAGCTAACCGACTACCAGTTTGTGGCACGTGTGGACGTGCTCATCGTGGAGAGTGCCTAGCAGGGCAGAATGTCTGCTATAATTGCAGGAAGCCGGGGCATATGACCAAGGAATGTCCAGACAGGCAGCAGCCTCAACCTCAGGCTCAGCCTCAGCAGCAGAGGCGAGCGGGGCAGCAAGCTCAAGTATATGCTGTGGACCAGGCTCAGGCAGAGGAGAACCCAGGTACCATGTCTGCGATGATTATTTTAAATGATATTCCTATTTTTGCATTGTTTGACACGGGAGCATCGCATTCTTTCGTGTCAAAACGATGTATAGAAGCCATAAGAGTTCAACTCTTTGACACTGTTGATCCTCTTGAGGTAAGTTTAGCCTCAGGACAGAAAATAATGACGAGTTCTAAGGCAGAAAACCTTAGACTCAATATTGGAGGGCGAATCTTGGAGTTCGGCGCGTACATCATTGAGATGAGGGATTTTGACCTCATACTCGGTATGGATTGGCTAACACGTTACCGTGCAGATATTTGTTGTCATGACCGAGAGGTAATTCTTTATCTTTCGGAGGAGGATCAAATTTCTTTCTACGGCTCGAAGACGCGAACGTTGCCTCGGGTAATTTCTATGCGAAGGCAAGGAAGATTATAAGACGGGAGGATTGTCAAGGATATTTGGTGAGTATTGTTGATGAAAATTCGAGAGCACAAACACCTCATGATGTTCCAATTGTTCGTGAGTTTGTGGATGTGTTCCCGGACCAATTACTAGGAAGACCACCCAACAGGAAAGTGGAGTTCACAATCGATCTTGTTCCTGGAGCAGCGCCTGTGTAGAAGGCACCATATCAGATGGCACCAAAAGAATTGCAAGAGTTAAAAACTCAAATTCAAGAGTTGTTGGAACTTGGTTTCATTAGACCAAGTGTTTCGCCTTGGGGAGCACCTGTATTGTTAGTCAAGAAGAAGGATGGTTCCATGAGGATGTGTATCGATTATCGGGATTTAAACCGGTTAACGATAAAGAATAAAATCCGCTCCCAAGGATAGATGATTTGTTCGATCAGTTGAGAGGGGCTTGCGTATTTTCAAAGATAGATTTACGCTCAGGCTATCATCAACTGAAGATTAAGGAATCTGACATAGCTAAAACTACGTTTCGGACAAGATGCGGTCACTACGAGTTTGTGGTGATGTCGTTTGGCGTACGTAATGCACCAGCGGTGTTCATGGACTTGATGAACCGTGTTTTCCACAAGTATTTAGATCAATTTGTCATCGTCTTTATTGATAATATTTTGGTCTACTCCAAGAGTCAAGAAGAGCATGAGCAACATCTAAGGGTTGTTCTCAGTACCCTAAGAAAGGAGAAGTTGTATGCCAAATTCTCTAAGTGTGAGTTTTGGCTGAAGAAAGTGGCATTCCTAGGCCATATTATTACTGAGAGAGGTGTAGAAGTGGATCCAGCAAAGATAGCTGCAATTCAGAATTGGCCAGTACCAAAGAACCTATCAGAAGTTCGAAGTTTTCTCGGATTAGCAGGTTATTATCGTAGATTTATCGAAGGGTTTTCAAAGATTGCTCTCCCTTTGACAAATTTAACGAGAAAATCTGTGAAGTTCGAGTGGTCCGATCGTTGTGAGTAGAGTTTTCAAGAGCTTAAGAAGAAGCTTACATCAACACCAGTATTGATTATTCCTGATCCTACTAGAAGTTTTACTATTTATAGTGATGCTTCCAAAAGGGGTCTTGGATGTGTACTCATGCAAGATGGTCAAGTTGTTGCATATGCTTCGCGACAATTAAAACCGCATGAGCAGAATTATCCAACTCATGATTTAGAGTTGGCAGCGGTAGTGCACGCACTCAAGATTTGGAGACATTATCTCTATGGTGGCCAATGTGAAATATTCACTGATCACAAGAGTTTGCAATATATATTCACTCAGAAGGAGCTCAATATATGCCAAAGAAGATGGTTGGAGCTTGTGAAGGATTATGATTGCACCATCCAATATCATCCAGGAAAGGCGAATGTGGTAGCAGATGCTCTAAGTCGTAAAGTGAAGGGTGGATTGGCACATTGTATCACAAATCAGAATCAACTTATTAATGAGTTTGCTCGGATGCAGATTGAAGTTGTCAAGACACTTCCTAAGGAGGTTACTGGAAGGGTTAACTCAATGAGAGTTCAGCCCATGCTGAGAGAAAGAATTCGGAAGGAGCAATCTTTCGATCAATTTGTTCGGAAGATGGAAGAAAAAGTTCAAGCTGGAGGAGTAGAAGGTTTTTATCGAGGTTCCGATGGAGCAGTGGAGTTCAGAGGAAGGATTGTTGTGCCAAAGGTCGAGGCTTTGCGAAAGGAAATCTTGTCAAAAGCACATAGTGCACCATATTTAGCTCACCCTGGAAGCACCAAAATGTATCATGACCTGAAAAAGTCATTTTGGTAGAAAGGGATGAAGAAAGATGCAGCAGATTTTGTGAAGAAATGTTTGGTCTGTCAGCAAGTTAAGGCCGAGCACCGGAGTCCATTAGGTCTGTTGCAACCAATAGAGATTCCTAAATGGAAGTGGGAAGAAGTTACCATGGATTTTGTTACAGGGCTACCTAAGTCATCAGAACAACATGATGCGATTTGGGTAGTAGTAGACAGGTTGACGAAAGTCACTCGTTTTATGCCTGTAGCAATGACCATGTCAATGGACAAGTTAGCTGAAATTTATACTCGTGGAATTATTCGACTCCATGGAGTGCCTGTTACAATAATATCTGATCGAGATCCCAGATTCACTAGTAAATTTTGGGAAAGTTTGCATAAGGCAATGGGCACACAGTTAAGTTTCAGTTCGACTTATCATCCAGAGACAGATGGCCAGTCAGAGAGGACGATTCAGACGCTTGAAGATATGCTCAGAGCTTGTATTCTGGATAGAGGTTCCAAGTGGGAGAAGTGGTTGCCGTTAGTAGAATTTGCATACAACAACAGCTATCATTCATCAATTCGGATGGCTCACTACGAGGCACTTTATGGCCGCAAGTGTCGTTCACCCCTTTATTGGGATGATGTTGGAGAAAAGCAAGTACTTGGCCCGAAGATGAATGAAGAAACTGTTGAACAAGTAGCCTGGATTCGAGAAAGGCTCAAGACTGCTCGAAGTTGGCAAAAATCTTCAGTTGACAAGCATAGACGAGATATGCAATTTGAGGTGGGAGATAAAGTTTTCTTAAAAGTTCGACCCATGAGAGGGGTTATTCGTTTTGGGAAGAAAGGAAAGTTGCATCCTCGCTATATTAGTCCGTTCGAAGTTCTTGAACGAGTTGGAGAAGTATCTTATCGATTAGCTTTACCTCCTGAGTTGGCAAGCGTGCATAATGTAACACCCCGCTTTTCCTTAAATATCAGAGTGCATTTTTTCGCAAATTCTTTTCTTAATAATACATATCTATTTGCGAAATCCTTTTCGGGATGCTACTAAAAACCCTTCATTGCTTAAGAAATCCGTTACCATTATTTAAATTTAACCTTGAAGAATAAACGGACTAACTTAGATCAACTTGCATGTAACACTTTATAAAAATCTGTCTGATAATTCAGTTTAAAAATAAAAACTGACATGCTAGTTGAAATATCGTAAAGTGACAGCGGAAGTCATACGTGGCAAAACATAGCTGTACAATAATGTACAATGGCTGTTAGCCATATCTCTGACCACGATCCACCAACCAGCTCACTCCTCTGATCCGACTCTGTAACCTGAAAAACATGATAAGACTGGGGAGTGAGCACTAAGGCACTGTGCTCCGTGGAAACTCATATTAAAGTAAACAGTGAAAATAATTGCAATATCATGATCCTGGCAGATATAACTGAACTGAACTGAAACTGGTACTTAATAAGCATGATCTGATACTGATATCGTGATAATCATCACCTGACTGATACATCTGCCAACATAGAAATGTCGGACACCATGTGCACACTCTAGTGGGCAGAAAAGGCCACTAGAACCCAGAATGGACCGGCGACCATTCCGAGCGGATACTGATAATACATACCTCAAACATGGTAGAGTAATTATAATCAATGTAATACCCAGTCTGAGTCCCCACCTGAACTGCTGAGTTGAAAATGTAAGTGCTGATCATCTGGATCCTGAATAAACTGAAAATAATATAAACATTTACTAAATACTATGCTCAGACTGATAAAATAACTGATTAACATGTTAAGATGCTGTACTGGACTTAAACATGATATCTGAACTTAATTGGTATAATCGGAACTGGCTAAACTCGGAACTGAACTGACATGAATTTATTGCACTGGACTGGACCCGGACTTTAACTGAGAATTTGACATAAACATGAACCGGGACCCAAAACATGAAACTGTAGTGAACCGGTCAATCTGAGGCCTGGCCGGACCACTGGTCCAGTTTGGCCAGATGGCTGGCTGCTGGCTTGGCCAACGGGCCTGTTAAGGCCGCTGGCGTGGTTGCTGCCGGCGCTACTGGCGCTGGCTAGCACTGGCTGGCTTGGTGTACGCACTGGCGGGTGCGCTGGAAGCATGACTAGCGTGTTTGCGTGCCGGAACACTAGCCAGCGTGCATGGGATACGCTGGCGGGCGTACGGATGTTGCGAGACACGCTACTGGGCGTGTAACGCACTATGGCATACGCGGACGGCTGACTGCGCACTGTCGTG